CTGGACCGGACTGACTGGACTGGGACTGCTGACTCTGCGTGGTGGACTTCCACCACTTGCCCACTTGCCTCTTACCTAAACTTGGCTGACTCTGAAAGGCCACTTCTAGAAACATCTACTTGGCCTTTCGGTACTGTAGCAGCCACGACTCTGCCCTTTCAGGTAAGTAGCAGCTACGACTTTGACCCTTCGGAAAGTCTACAGCTAAGACCTCTGGACTGTCTAGACTCCTACCCGACAGGTCTACAGTACGAATCCCCTATACCCTGTAATGTAATCTACGACGTCCTTCCTACCACTGGCGGTCCTACAGGGCGCAAGTTCAACTCTACGGGTTGACACAGGTACTTTACACAGGTAAGGTGGGAGACTAGGGATCGAGCCCTGGGATCTGCATCAGCTACTGCGAACTGGTGAATACCGTTTCACTCCCGCTGGCCTAAATTCGAGGTCCGCTGAGAAAAATTTAGTCCCAAGGCCTTAACTATATCGGGAGCTGTCTCTAGAAGTTCAGTTCGGGTGTGCCATCGATCGTCTTCTGGTTCCTGATATGCAAATCGGACCTTGTACTGTTTCTGAGGACGACCCCTACCTCCTGTTCTAAACACATCTTCACCTACAATGCCGTCGATGTCATATCTTCCATCCATGTCTGGTGGGATCATGGATCGTCTCGACGGGAACTGATCACTCACCGTGCATGGCAACAACTTTGACGAATGGAAAACTGGGTAGGTGTGGAGGTGTAGTGGAATCTCAATGGTATAGGACGGACCATCCTCTCCACCCTTGACTTCTAGAACTGGCCATGGCCCTCTATACGTAGGCAGTAACTTCTGCGAGATGTTCTCCTCAAAAGCAAACTCTTTCACGCTGACCCAGACTAAGTCGCCTACTTGGAACTGTGAGGGGCGACGATGTTTGTTGGCTTGCTCTATCATCCTATGTTGGGCCTTCCTGAGGTTCTCTACAACAGTAGCTAGTTCTTTCTAGTGCTGTATAGCGAACTCCCTAGTACCGGGCGGTAGCCTGTAGATCTGATCCCGGATAAGTCCCTCAAATGGTCTGCGCGGTCTAAAGGACTTGTGCAGTTCGTTGGGAGTGCGGCACGTAAACAGATGCACACTATTGTTGTAAGCGCTGGCTACCTTGGGAAGCATCTCATCCCAGTCAACTTGATCTGGTCTAATGTACATTCTCAGAACTTGCTGCAGGATCTTATTCATTTGCTCCGTCTAACCGTTGGTCTCTGGATGACGGCCATATGACATTAGCAAACTCCTGCCAGTTCTGACTCGTGAACCGGGTCTCTCTATCACTAACCATAGACAATGGGACCCCGTGCTCACTGACCCAATGATCAAAAAAATTACGAATGACTAACTCCTGTCCGTGCTTCTGAAGGCAAAGGAACAAAAACAACATATTTACTGAATCTATCGACTATCACCATAACTTGGCTCTTGCCATGTCTACTCTTGACGCCCGCATCCATGAAGTCGATGGACACTGAATCTCCGGGCTGATCAGGGATAGGTAAGGGTCTCAGAAGACCTAGCAGGGCGCGCGTAGTAGTCTTATTCCGCTAGCAGACTTTACAACTGCGAACATATTCTATGCAGTCATTCTTCATACCCGGCCAGGTGTACGTGTGCATTAGATTGGCCAGAGTCTTTTGCCAACCGAAATGACCCTCTGTGTTGTGGCATTCTCCTAAGATCAGACTACGGATTTCTTCGCTATTGGGAATGCACAATCGGTCAAATACGTTAGTCTTCTCAAAGAGCAACCCCTCAGTAGTGCGGTAATCTGGCTCGGTCTCTGGGGCCTCCTTTACTTTCTTAAGAAGGTCACTATAGATAGGGTCCTGCGCGTACACTTCTCTAACCTTTTGCTGCGGGTCCTTCCCTATGTCCAGATAGTGAACTATTGCTCCAAAGTAGTCTGCTCTCCTACTCAGAGCATCCGCAACTACGTTATACTTCCCTTTTACTGGCTTGAGCTCTTTAACCATCTCAACGTCTCATGATCTCAATAGACTTTGAAGTGCCTCCCAAGCAAGTAGTGCTTCCAGTGGTCTAACGCTTGCCTGAGAGCGTAGAGTTCTCGCTCATAAGTCGATGTCGCTACCTTTTCTGAAGGCATCCTAGCAGACATGAACTCTACGGGTCTATAACCATTGCCATCGTCTTGCTGCAAAGCAACACCTATGCCGTACGGGCTGGCGTCCGTAGTGACGACAAAGGGTAGGGACGGATCGACCACCTTAAGAATTGGGTACTCTATCAATGCCTCCTTCAATTACTTAATGGCAGACGTGCAGTCCTTATCCCACTTCCAGATGGTTTCTTTCCTCTATAATCTGCGAAGGGGCGCAACGATAGTGGAGAAGTTCCTCACGAACTTCCTATAGTAGTTGGCTAGGCCCAGGAATGACCACAACTCTGTCAACGTACACGGTGTGGGCCAATCTCTAATCGCTGCGATTTTGCAGTCTTTTGGCTTGACGCCATCCCCGTCTAGGACGTGGCCTAGATACAACACTTGGGTCTTCGCCCATTCGCACTTCTTGGCATTGATCTTGAAGTTAGCTTCTCTCAGCTTCTCCAAGACCTGCCGAGGCCTAAACAAGTCGTTCATACAGCGCTGGAACGTTGCTGGCACATTGGTCAGTCCAAAGGGCATCACTATGAACTCATAATGCCCATACCTAGTCCGGAAGGCTGTCTTGTACTGATCATCAGGATGAACCTCAATTTGATGATATCCGGACTTTAAATCTATCTAAGAGAAGTACTTGGCCCCCTACACTCTATCTGGGAGATCATCTATCCTAGGCAGTGGCTCTGTTACGGACTTCGCCAGGGCTCGATCCCTGGTCTATCTTTTGCTTTTTCGGCTGCATCCCGTTTTCGGCCTGGCACCCTTTTTCCAAACCCCTCCTTTGGTACCGTAGGATTTTGGACAACTGGCACCATGCTGCAGTTCGGGCGCCACTTTCAAATACTGCATTTTTCAGTTCTGCCCTCGGGGCCTTTGCAAAAATGCCCCTGGTACCGTACGTGTCACCGGTACTTATACCGGCTCCCCGTACGGTATGGGGACCAGTCTCGTACCAGTTCTCTGCTGCTGTACTTGTACTCAGTGTGACTTGTCGTTTCGGCATTGGGAATCCAAGACTTCGACTTTGTGCCTTGCCACTGTGTCTGCGTCCAACCCTCAGCCCGAGTCCGTCGTGTCGAGTGAGTGAGTGTGTGTGTGTGCTCTCACTCTCTCCCTCTCTCTCTCCTCTCCCTCGGCTCACCCTCAGCCTCACTCCCGTTACACTGGTATCGGAGCGGTTCGAACCCGCCCAACCCACCCTGCTTCGACGTCGTCACCTGACCATCATCAACATCATCGTCGAGATCGTCGCCGCCGTGCCACGTCATCATCGTCATCATCGCAATCGTCGTCATTGTGCCCCGTCATCATCGTCACCGACGGGATCGCCG